AATTAGCGAGTCTTTCAAAGCAAAAGGAGCTTAATGAGCCACATACTCCAAGTGGGAATTGTAGCCCTGGTATTACAAGAAGTATGTCTTGCTGATTTGTAAAATTAATTTCTGTAGTCTCTTGAACAGTTCTGCAACTCTTTATAGTAAGCAAATCATTCTACCATACATAACTTCACCTATTTTGAAGAATTTAGGACAGTCTGTTAAAGCTGAGGACATTTATCCTTCTGACCACCTCTTTGATATTTGTACTTCATGAGGAAAACTGAGTAGCAACTGTATGAGGAAAAATGGGTTTAGTCAGTCTTTCTATAATGGAGACTATTTAGAAAAGAGAGATAGCACATGGTAGTTTTGTTAACAACATCGTGTGTGCCTTTTTGCACTACAAAATTGATAATATTGACAACTTTTAAAAAAGATTGTTTGACTGAGAAGTTGCATTATAGTGAAGCTTGTACTCAACTTCATTCCAAAGAATTCTAATCTTGTGGTGGTAGGAATAATGTGAGAGTTACGTTTCAAGAATAATCTGGGTTTTAAAGCTTTGATCTCTTAATATCTTTTGGCAGAGAAGAGAGTTTGGGAAGTGGACCGAAACCACCATTGAGAGCCAGAGATTTCATGGCCAGTAATCCAGAACACTTGGAGATACTGAAGAAGATGGGGGTCAGTTTGATTCATCTGAAAGATGGAAGAGTACAGTTAGTACAGCATGCAGTGCAGGTAAGACCTGACAGTAGTTTTTTTTTGAAAACTTTCAGTAAAATCCTACTAGCAATGATATTTGACACTTAGACGTTCAGGAGGGACAGCTAGACTGTGGAAGGAGGCACGTGAGCTGGATGCGCAACTATTTAGCAGGCTGCTTGTTAATATTTTGTCTCAGCAACACTTTTAACTCCATTAAATTAAATGGAGGCTGTTCGTGTCAAAGTGATGTAGCCAACAGCATCTTATCTGAGAATACTAGCTTTTCAGTGTGAGATATTTCCATTTGTTAGGAGGGCTGTGTGTTTGTATTCTTCAGTCTTCTTGGTGGTGGAGGCATTAAAATGTTAACTTCCTAATTTGAAATGACGAATGAGTGCCAGTGAACATCCACTCTGTATTTTAAAATCTTTGTAGCAGTGGTCCAAGCAAATGTAACTTCAGTTTTTTTCAATTTTCTCAAACTTTGAAGAAATAACTGTTTATTGTTTCTTTACCACTCAGGCAGCAAGTTCACTTGATGCTGAAGATGGCTTACGGTTCATGCAGGAGATGATTGAACTCTCCAGTCAGCAGCAGAAAGAGCAACAGCTACCTCCTCGTGCTGTTCAAATTGTTTCCCATCCGTTCTTTGGCAGGGTGGTCTTGACTGCTGGACCAGCACAATTTGGGATGGACTTATCCAAACACAAAGCAGGGGTATGCAAGATGTGTATGTGATCTGTTCCTAGGTTTCTGTTACTTTTCTTATTGCATAAGCCTAAATTTTACAGTACTGGTACTATTTCGGGATGGCCAGCTAGAGGGTGATCGGCTAGTTACAGTGGTTAAAATGACAGGACCCAGCCATGACAGAATGACAGCAGTGACAGTCTTTCAGATGAGTGGCTTATCGGTCTGTGGCCTGTGCTCTGCTCCTGAGTCATCAGTCAGGATTTAAAATGCATACATAGTATGATTTTTGAAACAAATTTATATAATCTGCAGTGCGTATCTTAAGATATGTTACTTTAAGGGAGGATTTTCCTACCATGTCAGCTGTGAATTTGCAGAAGCCCTTTTAGAGTTAGAGTAAGCTGTTCTTATGCAAACTTTTATAAAAGTTTGTATCTAAATGGAAGAAGAAAATATCACAGGGGCACTGGTCCCCATTGGAAGCAGTAGGAAAACCCAATGGCTTCCATTGGGCAAGATGCAGCCCCAAAGAGGAGTTCCAGAGTAGCAGTTTACAGAAGAAAATTTTCTAGAAACAACAGTTCACAGGTATAGACAAAATACACTGAATGTGAGAACTAGGTTTTCACTCAGCCATTATTTTCTTCTTAGAACTCGAGCTTCAGGGAAAAGATTGCCTGCACTGACAGAAGGCAACACTAAACTAATTACGTTAACTGAAGAAATGAAAATGCCTGGGAATCTTTTGCAAACTTGAACCTAGTGCTCTAATTCTTTCTTTTGTTTTTTGCTTTTCCAAACAGACGAGAGGATTTGTTGCAACCATTAAGCCATATAATGGATGCTCAGAGATCACTAATCCTGAGGCAGTGAAAGAGAAAATTGCTCTGATGCAAAGAGGCCAGTGTATGTTTGCTGAAAAGGCACGAAACATTCAAAAAGCTGGAGCAATAGGAGGCATTGTTATTGGTAAATAAAATTTTAAGTTCTTAAAATCTTAAATTTGTGTAGATGTAACCTGCATTTTACAGATTTGAAGATGCTGGAGAGCTGACAAGAAGCTGTTAAAACTCTGAGATGACAGTAATCCAACGCTGAAATTATGCTTTCAGAAGATGAAGAAACATTTTGTTTTTTTCTGGTTCTATGCAGAAAGTGTAACTCAGCAAATTGGGATGGGTGATTGTCACTGGTTTTGCAGATTAAAAGTTGTGACTTGAAGGATCACTGAGTGTTGCAGTAGTGCTATCTACTGACTGCTGAGGAAGACTCGAGATACGAATGAAAAATGTTAAGGAAAACAAGTACGCGTGCTGGGTTTTTGCTTTTTGCAACCAACTTATATTTTCTGCCTGTATCCTCTTAACTGACTGGGCAGTAGAAAGCTGCTCAAAAAGTCTGCGAAGTTCAGAGTTGTAGTCTGTTTATCTAACGGGAGGTTTGCTTGCTTTTCCTTTTGTGTGCATCTGGCTAGATGACAATGAGGGAAGCAGTAGTGACACAGCTCCTCTCTTCCAAATGGCTGGTGATGGAAAGAATACAGATGATATCACAATTCCCATGCTCTTCCTCTTCAACAAGGAAGGAAACATTATACTGGATGCAATCCGGGAGTATGAGGCTGTGGAGGTGCTCCTTTCCGATAAAGCCAAAGACAGAGGTAAGGTTAGGGGTTATTTATACAAATTCAGCTTCCGTCTGTGCCGTGGCACAATGTGAAATGTACAGTAGTGATTTCTGTTGCTACCCAAAGGCAAACACATTATTTGGTAGCTCTGGTTTTCTGTTTGACATTGGTATTAGTTCTTTTCATAAGAAATCCATTATCTGAGATGTGCCATTATCTGCTCCCCCCACCCCCAAGTTAACATTAACATCCAGAAATGCTGTTCATAAGTTAAATGTCAGTTTGACTACTGAGGAAATACAGCCTTTTGGATTCCTTTTGAACCCTTTTTGTCATAATCTGCTTTGAAGTGGTGTCAGGAATAGCATAAGTGTTTTCAGTGCCCCACATTGTAAATGCCTCTCTCTTACCAAGCTCCCCAGTGACGTTCTTGGTACCCAAAAGGAAAGACACAACTGTTACAACTGTTTTGCTTATCTGAGGAGAAGTGGTTATGCGAAATAAGGCTGCTGCCCTCGGGTGTTTTGCAGTGTTTCTTGTATAATACAGGAAAATTGCAAGCTAGTACACTCCCAATTACAATGTTTGCATATGGCTAGGTTTTCCTTTTGTGTAAGCCTTCCTCGTAGCACTGCTTTGTCCAAGCAGAGCCTGTAAGAACAAGTATCTCAGCAAACCAGTGACAGCATTTATTTTCTGCACATTTGCAAAGGTGATGTGCCAAGTGTTGTTTCTTCGTAGCTGCTTACAGATTCCTCCTGTTTATGGTTAAGCTGCTCTAACAAAGTACTAAATACAAAAAAACATTTGAGAATTTGTAATGTGTATCTGCTTCTTCCCCCCCCTCCTCGTGCTTCCGTTTGGAATCCCAGCAACAATCTTTAAAGGTAAAATGATTCCAAACTACATTATTGATAGCAGTAAGTATCCCATGTTAAAGATGGTGTATGCAGTTAAACTCCCTAGAAGTCTTGAAATATCGGTGTCCTGTATACTAGGTATTAACATCAAACGCCAAAGGCATCTGCTTGGTTAAATCGAACAGCGCTTGTAAAGTTAAAAGCCAAATCGCTACTTGAGATAAGTATGTTAGTTGCTTTGAGTGGGGATGTGATGAGGGAGGTTTTGGCTTTGACTCCGCTTAATTCACAGTTCAGTAAACTTACGAAACTCTGTCCCCCGCTTGCTTAGAAGTGGCATCCTGGTGGATCCAGGAGTGCTTTAAAATCAAGTATTAAAGTTCGGTGCATGCAGTGGGTATTTGCTTAAGACTGAAGGACGATAACTAGCACTGACCCAGAAGGCACTATTTGAGTTTGAAGAAACCAAAACTAGTCTCACTGTATTATTTGCCCTCATTTAAAATGTGTTTAAATGTCTTCCCTTCCCTCCATCTGTAAAATATGTTCCTTAACATTAAATTTTCGTATAAGTGGCAAGTCTGCACTTCCTTGAGGAAATAAGGCCAAGGGAAGTGGACCTTGCTTTTGAAATACATAATAAAATGCTGCCTTCCTAGTTTGGGGTTTTTTAAAAACATTTTTTCTCTCCCCTCTCAAAGACTTGGAAATGGAGAATATGGACCAGAAATTATCTGAAAACGATTCACATAAACAGAATTCGGAAGAAGCTACTTCAGCATCTCAGGATGTAGGTGCGGTCAGTGAAGAGCCCGAGGAAGGAGAAAGCTCTGATGTAACTGACCCCGATTCTTTGTCTCCTGCTCACGCAGACAGTGACAGCGTTTCCATTTCAAATCAGGATTCCTATGTCCCTGGAACTGAGGAGGCTAGTGCTCCAGAGCCGGCGTGCACACAAGGGGATAACCAGCCTCAGGAACAAAAGACCGAGACAGAGTCAAATTCCAGAATTAACTGGGATAATAAAGTCCAACCTATGGAATCCATATTAGCAGACTGGAATGAAGATATAGAAGCATTTGAAATGATGGAAAAAGATGAGCTATGACTTGTAATAATAACTTATTTGTTAGTAAACAAACGGAGAACTCTTTGGGTAGAAGTGAGGCCCTGATATCTGAGACCTAGAAAACATATTCAGTATTGTGATGAGCAGCCAGGTTTCACCTGGAAAACACCGTAGAAATCCAGCACGCACTCTTTGTATTGTTTTAATTTTTCCTGTTTAAAAATGGGAACGTGCAATTGAAGCGTTTGTCTGGCTCCACTGCATGGTGCTGTAACCCAGGAGGCTCATTCAGGGAACAAGCCCGACTTCTGCGTTCCAGGCTCTGAGAGGTCAGCCTCCCTCGGTGTCTGGAAAGCAGAAGTTGAACGTAGTGGGGTTAACATACCGCATGACGGCTATCGACGAGAACTCTCAAAGGCAGTAGGTCAGCCACTGTTCTGGAGGGAAGGGGCGGTTTCACTCAGCTCTGCCGGGTTGAAAGCCTTCATTGATAGCAGCAGGTGAAATTCTTACCAGTTGTTGTGGCTTTAAGACACAGCTAGCAGCAATTTGTTTTTTGTCCTGACATATCATTCTGAGACATAGTAGCGTTGCTCATCACTCCTTCCATCTGTTACGGTGAAGAACGACCATGGTGACGTGCGAGCTTTCCCTTCTGCTCCGCTTTCAACTAGAGAAACTGTGTAAACCAAAGGCAATGTGTGCTTGGTAAGCAGGTTCCGTCAGGGAAACCGAGGCAGCCTTGAGGTCCACCAGGTAAAGGTTCGCAGTGTGTGTGACCGCTCCGCTTGAGCTTGAGGTGAAGCGGACAAGGCAGGTGCCGAGTTACAGTTACTTCTTTTGGCCCTCCAGGTTGAAAAACTCGATCTGCCCTGAGATACGGAATTTAGACTGGCAATGTTCTCTGAAAGGACACTAAACAGAACTAGATCAGCTATAACAAAAACCTTCCTTTTTCTAAGAGTTTGACTTCTAACAGCTTGACTTTGTTGTCATTCTTTTTATACACGACTTCTATACGTGCGATACGTAAGGCAGTGAGGCCAGTGCCAGTAGTGAAGTGCAACAATTTTGGCTGTTGGGTCTGTAGTTCAAAGTACAGTGGCGTGAACTGCGAGGATGACTGGTATGTTACTGTGGGCTTCAGGAGTTTGGTACAGGTAAGTGGGAGTCCCAGTTTGTTATCCCTATTATGAAAAAATGTAATTTAAGTAAGAAGGGGGATGTTCAAGCAACTGAGAGATGTTTTGACTGTGTCCAAAGAAACTGCCAAAAACTAATTAACTTGATTTATATAAACTGCTTTTAGTGAATTGTGGTTCAAAGAATTGTTTTATATTAAAGAGTAAATTAACACTGCCTATATGCTGCACCAGGCTAAAAGTGAAGGTTTATATTTGTCTTTACGATGGAAAGAAGAAGGAGGAAAAAAAAAAAAGCCCCAATCGGAATTGCACCTTTCATTTAGCTGGTGAAATTATGTGTGCTGAATATGCAACTGTTAATTAGTACAGCCATACTGTATTTATTTATGTATACTCCTGTACAGTATGAATGGAGCAATCCCAGGCAAATGTTGTGTACATGTATACTTACTGACACTTGCTTTCAAGAGTATCAAAATGCACAGGCACCTTTTGAGAGCATGACAGTCAATCAGAATATTATCCATAAACTGAATGATAACTTCAAATCACTAGGGTAGGAGGTGATTTCGAGGAGGAACTGAAGCGGTAGCAGAATAGTGAATAAGTGTCCTTGTAAACAGATCAGCTTTTAAATGTAGTTATAATTCCTTTGCACAAATAACTGTATGGAGATTTGGCTGAATGAGTAGGGCTTGAAGCAGCTGCGTTTTTTCAGCTGAGAGGGTTTTTTTATATTTTATGTTTTTTGTTACGTGAGTTTCTTCATGTAAGGCGTTTGATCATGGGAGCCTTGTAAGTGTCCTTCATTACCTGGAGCCCAGCCCGCACCCGAGAGATGCTGCGCTCCCCTGGTAGCGCCCGGGCTCGAAGCGACATGGCCAAGTGCAGTCAGCTGCAGGATCAAAACCATCCGGTGCAGGTCGAAAGTTTTCCCTCTGATAATTCCTTTCATCTGTCAGTGCTTAGTGCCACAAAAGGAGCATTTTTATTCCTGTGCTCTTCAACATGGACTACATCATCTTGTTAGCTCTTTTGGTGGAAACAGGATTATTTTTATAGCTATAGAGGCCCTCTGGTCATTATGTTAAGACTGTCAGTACAGCAACTAAAGGTTTTCTGTTCATTTACTTGCAGAAAAATCAGGTGTAGATGTAAAATTTTATTAAAATATTAACTTTCCTTGCCATGACAGCTCATTTTTATTTAACTGCTTTTTCCACATCGATTGCTGAAGCAGCAGACATTAGCTCTCCTTTTAAGGGATTTCGAGTGATCCCAGAACTCCATATGGATTTGAAGCATCATTTTGGCGGTGGCCTACCTCAGATAACTGTTGCCTCCTTCCTTTTGAGTTGTTTGTTTTGTTTGTTTGTTTCAATTTGTTCTACTTTACCTTTGAAACCATCATGAGAGCCATAGCCTTGTTTACAGAACTGAATCAGGTAAGGTTCACCTTTTGGGAAAGAGGACTAAACTGGGGGGCGGGGGGGGGGGCAGGTTTAGTCAGTTTATTTTCACTTTCATTTAGTTTCTTTATGAGGAAATAGGCTTTTGTTTAACCTTTTCATGTCATTCTGGAAATAATTCAGTTTTCTGTCACTGTCATCTTAAAAAGCAAAAAGAATGTATTCATCAAAAAAACAAAACCTTTTGGAGAGGGGAGTAAGTGTTCTTCCAAAACTTCTAGTCTGCTCCCTCCGTGTGGAATATTGCTTGTACATCACTAATCAGTGATCGCCTCTTTCTTTATATAGTGTTATACATTTATTTGTACGGTGTTGAACACTGAAGAATTCAGGAATCACAGCTGGATCTAGCACTTATTCCATGCCATTGTAATTCAGATCAGCCAGTTAATTTCTCATTTGATCTTAGAGGAATCTTCTTAATTGTTTACATTTGTTGTTTCTTAATGAAGTTTCAAAATGAGCCCAGCTTTGGTTCTCCTCCTCCTGCCAGCGTACCCGAAAGCATAGCGGTAGGCATGAGTAAGTGTATGTTGAGAGGTTGAAAATGGGACATCTTATGCAAAAGGCATCGGTCAGAATATAGGGGAAAAAAACCATTCTGTGAATGAAATATTGTATGTTCAGATTTTATAAGATTATTTTTTTCTAGCCAGCCCAATTTACAGCCGTATATTTTCGTATGAAAGATGTCTAATAACGGGTGCTGTAACACTGTTGTTGGGGTTTACTGTCCGGTGGTAAGTGTATACAATATTTCTAAGGGCAAACTATGTACTGTGATGTAAAAGTCTGGGCTAAAATGTATATAATCCGTGTACATAATTGTGTACTTGATTATAATTGCTGATTGTAAAGATTTAATAAAATGTAAATATTCTGGTCGAGCTGTGCTAGACTGACACTTTGTGAGCGGCGCTGCCGGCTCGGTTCGCCTTGATTTTTAGCGGGGCCGTCGGCGGTGGCGCCGGTCCCGCCCCCTGTCTCTGAGCAGCCGCGGGGCC